TGTACCCTAAGAAGACGTGCCAAGAATTAGATAGTATCATCTCCAATTTCTAGTGGAGAGAAACTGATAATAAAAAGAAAATACATTGGAAGGCATGGGATTCCCTAACAAGACCTAAGAAAAATAGGGGATTGGGGTTTAAGGATTTTCAGAATTATAATCTGGCTTTAATTGGCAAACAATGTTGGTGACTTTTGGTTGAACTTGAGGCTTTTTGGGCTCATATGATTAAAGGAATTTATTATCCTAATTGCTCTTTTTTAGATGCTAAGAAAGGAGCAAGGGCTTCATGGGTTTGGAATAGTTTACTAGAAGGTAGAGCCCTTTTTCAAGATAAGGTTTATTAGAGAGTTGGCAAGGGAGATAGGGTGCTGGCATGGCAGGATCCGTGGATACCTTCCTTAGCTAATTTTCAATTGGTTATGGAAAGCATGTCAGATGACTGGAAGGATTGGAAGGTAAGAAATCTCATAAAGCAGGGGAAGTGGCATCTTAAGAGCCTGAGCTTACCATGTTATGTTGAGGAGTCTATTCTCAGTATTTCTTTACCTAGAATGGAGTTACAAGATAAACTAATCTAGACTTTGTGTTCTAATGGCCAGTATACTGTCAAAGAAGGTTATAAATGGCTCCAAGCTCATAAAATTAGAAAAAAAAACTCTTAGCTGCTCTTCTCCAACCAAACCAAAAATATGGAAGCTCATTTGGTGTTTAAAAATTCAGCCTAAAGTAAAACACTTCTTATGGAAGGCATACTCAAGCTCTGCCTACCAGGGAAGCTCTTTTAAAGAGCAAGTGTGCTTTTTCTCCCATTTGTGTGAACTGTAATTGTAGTATTGAAACTATTGAGCATTGCTTGCTTTTATGTAGTTGGTTCAGGAAAGTCTGGTTTGCTTCTCCCCTTGCTTTGCTTATTGATGATCTTACCCTTACTCGCTTTGAAGATTGCCTTTTAAATGTCTTGCTAGAACTTAAAAATGAAGCCTACTTGCAAGCTTTATTAGCTTAGATTTGTTGGTATCTTTAGAAAGCTAGGTGCTGTGAAATCTTTGAGCATAAGTCAATTGATTGTTTTTGGGTTCTCAATTCTACTTCTTCAGCTGTTCATGAACTCTAGCGTGCAAAAAAGCGGTTTGGTGATAATACTTCCTCAACTCATCAGAACCATGTGCATAGAAATTGGACTCCACCTTATAACCTTTGTCTTAAACTTAATGTGGATGGCTCCTTTTTTGCAGATACAGGCCATAGTGGTTGGGTTTCGTACTACGAGACTCTCAAGGAGAAGTGGTTGACTTATCCTGCCAAAAGAGTACTGCATCTTCTACTTTTTATAGTGAAGTGGAGGCCTTGCATAAAGCGGTGTTCTCTTGCAAGGATAGAGATCTTGGGTAGTTGATAGTGGAGTCTAATTGTCTCCCGCTAGTACAAGCTGTAAAAAGTCATGCTTCTTGTCCATATTAGAAGGCAGAAATGCTAGTGGCGGAACTGCAATCGGTTTTTGCTTCTGTCTCGAATTTACATCTGTCCTATATTCCTAGATCTTTTAATGTGGTAGCTGATTGGCTAGCCAAATCAGGTTGTAAGGGGATATGTCCTTTAGGTTGGGTTCTTTGTCCCCCATCCCCTCTTTTTTCTCTTCTTGAACAGGATAAGATTGACTATAGAGAGGGAATCGGCTAATTCCCTATTTTTGGATTAATGAAGTTGACAGTATTTTGAAAAAAAAAAGTTCCAAATATAATATCACATGCAATTTTATCTCCTATATTAATTATTTCTTTCTCATAAAACCCTTATTTATCGGGACATTTTTATTCACATTAAACTCTAATTATTAATTGCGAGGAATTTATTGTTGAAATGTTACAATTTTCTTACATAATAATTATAAATAACCAATTTTAAGTTCATGTCTTTTTTGTGAAATTTATATTTATGTTTTGAACTTGCCATACTCAAAAACCTTTATGAGCTTCCAATGTGCCATAGCACTACATCTATGCCCATCATAATACAAGGGAGCCCATATGAGAGCAACCCTCCAATAGTGTGGCCCGTTTGGATAATTGGACCAATAAAATCGGGCCCTCGGCCTATTAATTCCCACCTCTTGTTTTTTATTCCCAAGATGGATGTATTTTTCCCCCTTTTTCATAGGTAGCCTTCTAGCAATCCTATTCAAAACACTATCAAACACTAAATATAGGCACATCTCCAGTAGGGATTCAAATAACCTATCCAAGTTTGAAGAGGATGCTAATAACTAACAAAAGTTAATCCAATTAATAAGGAATCGACTTATAACTCACAAGATCATGAGTTTGAATTTTATTGGGGATCTCATTCACAAGTGACCTATAAATACCTCTGAAAGCACTCTCTCAGTCTGAATGTATGTTTTGGCCCTTGTGAACCCTTAAGACTAAGCTCACCTAAGTTTTTTGGTATTAAAAAAAAAAAAGAAAAGATGGTGCTACTAATAGAGGTCATGAATTTGATTCCACTTGTAATTTTAGGTGCCCAGTATCTGTTTTCTAATTCAAAAGGATGGAAGAAATAGTCCTCAAATAATTATAAGAATTTGAACTATATGGGTAAGGCAAAAAATTATGGGGAAAACATTTAGGGCTGTTTATAAGACAGGACGGGACCAAGATATGTCTATCCCGGTCCTGTCTTGGTGAACAGGGGCGGGACAACATTTTTGCCTTATGTTCTGTCCATCTCAAGGTCGTCCCCGTCCCATCAGGACAAGGACAAGACGAGATGTCCCTTTTTTTTTTACAAACTATTGTAATTTTGGGTATGGATCTTTTTTTTTTAATGTGGTAATGTCTGTTTTTCATTAGGCTTCTAAAGATAAGAATATTATAAAAAAAAAATATGTAAAAAGCCTAATTATATAATGTAAAAAAGGTGTTAGAACAATACTCTAAAAAAATCATTAAAAAAAACGATATAAAGGTTTTATGAATTATTTTATTGATGAAAAAAATTTTGTTGAGATAACACTGCAGCTTAAAAGCTAAAAATCACTATAAAAATAATTATTAGTAATAAGTAAATTGAATAATTTAATATAACAATTGTTAACAAAATTATTTTTTTAAAAAAAGTACCCTAGGACAGGACAATCTCGTCTCGTCCTGATCACTATTTTGTCCCGCCCCATTCTAAAAGTTTTATGTCCTGTCCCAAATTAATTCAAACTAGAATAGGACGGCTAGGACGAAACAAGTTGAATACTCCTACCATCATTGGGGAAAAGAAAAAGGCACGGCATAATTCTTGGGCGGCATCTTATCTTATGGAAAAGCAATAATAAGTGAGACAAATTCAAAATGATTTAAGTCCTTTCATATTACTATAAGAAAGAACAAAACTACAAGTGTTTAGGTTGACTAGCTTCCATTTTACTGTATTCATGATGTGGATACGGATGCTGTGATTAATGGGCATAAAAGCCTTAATTTTTGACTTTTTTAACTGTTGCTCAATGTCCGAGGCTGATATCTTTTTATTAAAAGCAGTAATTTTGTTTGAGATATAATTAGACACTAAATACATGCATTTTTCTTAACAAAGATTCAACAACTACAAAGTAAAAATGAATTACACACAATTAAAAATGAGTTCCATCGATTTGAAGTACCTTTAATAACCAATTTTTAAACTAAATGTGCAATGTTACTCCTAATCATGAGGCACAGCTAGATCTTTCTAGTGATGTGATATTTTAATCCTGATCTTTGAATGCAATTTTAGGAGTAAACTTGTATTAAAAAAATTATAAATAAAATTATACCACTAAAAATATCATAGTGCTGCGTGTACTTATAAAATTAAAATAAGGGTTGAAATTTTTAGCGCACATATGCCAAATTACCAATCGCGTGATTTTTGTTCCGTTCGGCGGGCCATCAATTTCTGAAAACGGTCACTTTAATAAATATACATTGAATGTAACTAAACCAGGCCCCAGTTTCTCTCCGAACTTTTATGGGAAATTCAACAATTAAGGAAATCACATCTCAGTTCCAAAGGAGCTATCTAGCCACCTAGCCACCCTAACTAATACTCATGACTCAACAGAATAATCAACAATGTTGAATTTAATTTTGACTAAGATGTGCTCCCTTCACTTCAAATTATTACTTTAAGGTTTCAAATTTTGTTTCAAAATAGTAAATGTTGATTTTTTTTTTTTACCAGCAATGTTGATTTATAATATATATATGTATATATATATATATATATATATAAACGAATGGCCTCGGTTGAAACATTGTAAAAATAAATGATTATAACTTCACAACCTATTTGATGTTTAAGAAGCTTTAAAACAGTACTCAGAATTTTTGGTATTATGTTTGTAATAATAAATAATACTCTCTCATGTTCTAAATATAAATAAGTCTTATATATAGGATCAGGAGAGTATTTTTTATCTATATAGATTTTAGATTAGCTAGTAATTTTAGTAGGGGTACTAGCTTATAAAATTAAAATAAGACTTTTATATTTTTTGGATAAAGGTATATTTATATTTTTAGTATATATATACACAAGTGTAACGAATTGTGAAATACTCCTCCAATTCTTAATATAAGACCCATTTAACTAATTTGATTAAATTAAAAAAGTTAGGTAAGCTAGTTAATTATAAGAAATGTGACACGTTTTTTCTAACATACTATAGTCATCTTTCTTAATATCCCCTCTCTTTCTTCTACTTGATTATGGTTGAGGGAGTATCCATAGAGGTAATTTAGAGAAAATTGATAAATATGATAAATGGGTCTTATATTTAGTATCAAAACTAATTTAACAATTAGGTCCTATATTAAGGATCAGAGAAGTAAAACAAATTGTTATTTTCATACAGGATACACATGACATAATAAATCAGTTTGCCACAAATTTTGTGACTAACTGCTTGGTTGTAAATTTATGACCAAAAAAATTCTGTCATAAATTCGGCAATGAATTTCTGTGTTATTGTATTTAACATGAAATTCTAAATATTTTGAAATGGAGAGATTATGATGTACAAGTGAAATAATTTGTGGTATATGGATACAAAAATCAAACTTTTGTGGCCATTTCTAATTGTGTATTGGGGGCTTTCTTCTTGCTGCAGTATAGTCCATCTCAGCTATGCCTACAAGTTCTTCATGCTGCTTCCAAGAAGTAGCCGCCCATTTCACCCTTGCATTTTTATTATTCTCAATCATCTTCGCTTTCTGCCCACAAAAACATAAGCAAATGAATGAAAATTATAAGGACTAGCTGCGCGACAATGAAAAATGCTATAAGAACTAGAATTTATAATTTGAATGAGAAAAATTAAACTTTTTACTACCTTTGGTTCTTAATATATAAGAACAAGTTGAAAGTTAGATTTTGTTATAAATATAAAACCTCAGTCTAATATGTCTATCATTTTTTCCAAAATATTCCTATAGATTATCATATCGAAGTTCTTGCCAAAGGGTATTCCAATGCACATGATTAAATAAGATATTTTAAGAAAGTTAATACACTTTTGTGATGAATAAATAATTTAACTAATTTTTCTAGTATTTTCATATTAGTTATCTAGTTCTTATATTAAGAATTGAGGGCAATAATAGCATACTTCCTCCACCCCTCCCATAAGAATTAATTGGGAGGAGAGAACTAGGTTGGCTTTGATTGTAAATATAAGACACTAATTTATTTTGTCTATCATATTTATTATTTATCTCTAAACTGATTTGTCTAACTTATAAATATGTATAAATTAACATTATACTTGGATATTTTAAAAAGATTATGTCATATTTGTGATAATTAATTAATATATTTGACTTTCTTAGTTTATCCAAATTGAATTAAGCATAGCTGTTATATCAAGGAGTAAAGAAAGTAATAAATAACAAAACCAATAACAAAACCAACCTTAGATGCAGTAGTATGGGTGGTAGAAATGGACGTGGGAACAAATAATTTCCTATTCTTTGCCCTTTTTCCTGCATCAATCAATTAAAAATATAATGTATAGTATTATTCATAATATAAGAACTAGTTGACTAATTTGAGTAAATTAAAAAAATTAGTTAAATTAATTATTTTTAATAAATAGGTGTTGTTTTTCCTAAAGTATCCTTGCTAATCAAATATATTGGTTAGAACTATTATTAGAAGAACTCCTTAAAAAAAAAGATAAAATCAAATAAGTTTTTATATTAAAGACCAAGATAACAGTTTTATTAAAGTGAAAAAACCTCTTCTATGATATACCTGCCGTACTGTTGCAGTTCTGTACATGGTTGCAGAGACTGGCTTCGTGGTCATCACAGCCACCACTATTATGCGCCTTGAGCGACCAGAAAGCCAAAAGCTTCATGTCAAAAACCAGAACTCATCATAGACACAGAACAGAACCTTAAGTGATTAATTATAACTTCACAACCTACTTGATGTTTGAGAAGTTGCGTATCCTTTGAAAATCCTTCGTCTAAGCGAATCCCTGTGCATGCAAATATCAGAAAACTAAATAATCTAATTTCATCAGCTCTAATAAATCAGAAAGGGATAAAGTTATGTGAATGATTCAACTTACCTTGAGACTTAGAATGAAGGAGGAAGGAAAGCAGGAGAGAGAAAACGGGTAGCATGGAAGAAGGATTCATTAATTAACTCCAATCTGCCTTCCAATATTGCTCCTCTTTTCTTTCGGGCTGAAACAAGCTAAGAGCATCAGTATATAATATATAAACATGGAACTCGCTCATATATATATATATATATATATATATACACACACACACACACACATATGATACGAATAAACATGATCGATGGAAGGGGTCCACAATGAAGTTTCTTTCAATTAAAAAAGCGAGTGGATTTTTTTTCCCTCATTTACTTCCAAACAAGGTTTTAAGAACTGGACCAAACCGGACAGTCGGATTGGTCTAACTGCCACCCTTTCAACATTGCGGCTCGGTTTATAGGTTTAGGCCGTCTAAATAGTTTGTTCGGATTGAACCGTCCAAAACCGGACATTGGGCCAGAAACCGGCATTGAGTCGGGACTCGGAACGATTTTACAAAAATCGGGCAGGTGAAAGTTTCTTCCTTTGTTTAGAATCAGAACAAGAAAGAGGAGGAGGAAGGATGCAAATAAGAAGAAAAAAAGAGAGGAGTATGAGAGAATGACAACAGCCAACCAGGAAAAGACAATAAATCAAGTTGAAAACTAACAAATCTAAAAAATAGTCAATTTACTTTTGTTTCTCCAATAATGACAACAAAAGAGCACAAATGTAAAAGAGGTAGAAGAGGACAAAGAAAGTGAGATGAATTGAAGATGATAATAGAGAGATCGCTATGTAAATCGATTGCTGTGGCCGATTGAAGATCATGGAGCAATTTGAATCTGGAATGGCAATGGAGGAAGCTTCCAGGATGCGTTTGAAAATGACGATGGAGAGAGATAAAAGAAGCATATGGAGACCGGAAAGCATAAAAAATATGCAAACAAAAAGCAAAAGCTTTGCTCTGAATACCGTACACATTAATAAAGAACGTTTTATTTTTTCATTTTTAGTTTTTAAGAATATCCATGAGTATTTTCTACTTTGACTCTAAAAGAATTTTTAGCTAAAAAAATCTATAAGAATTATTTCTTATTATAAGTATTTATTTTTTTTATATTTATATTATTTTGCATGTATATAATATTATTTTTATTTAATTATTATGTTATCGGTCTAACTACAGATCTAACCGATCCGACAGTCTAGTTTTTAAAACAGTGCTTCCAAAGGGACAAAAAAATAATGCTTCTTTCCTCGAATATAAGTGGTAATATAATTGTCTTTTGACCTTGAAGTGGTAATATTCAATGAATAAAAAATCAGATCGGACACGGAACCGGTCTAGATAGTAGGTCAAGGTTAATGGGTCAAACCGGGGTCAAACCAGTCATATGAAAATAATATAATTTAATTAGTAATGACAATAAAAATAACATTCATCAATAATAATCATTTAACAAAATACAAAAAAACAACCAACGTGGTTTAAAGTTTAAACATTTAATTGTACCAAACTAACATTAACAAATATATATCTTCATTACTACAAAAAATCAAAATCATCATTAAATTCATTGGCAGAGCCAGGAATGGATACATCAATAGTTGGAAGAGAAAAAGTAGAAGGAGTAGCAACATCATCTTGCAGAGGTGGAGGTTCAATAATATTCATATCATCATCACCACCTAAATAAGACAATAATAAAATGTCAATTAAGTGTAAATTAATATTAAAATAAAAATATTTATAACTTCTAAGAAACTAAGACAATAATACTTTCATTATCCCTCCCAGGAGTTGTCAAATTTGAAATGTCTTCATTGTTGAAAACACTTTCAAATGTTGCCACATCTCTATCATCAAGCTCTGAAACAGGATCTTCTTTAGTCACCCAAAAGTCCACCAAATCAATTTTTCATAGTCAATAGATCATAGCTTGCCTTCTGCTTCTTCAATGTACTCCTGACAAATAAAATTTCAATTAGATGTAAATCCATATCAAAATAAAAGCTGCCATAACTTATAAATTATCTATGCTTCAATCGCAAGTTATAGTTTGTGAAAACTAAATCATTTAGCCTCTTGTGCTCCAATTTATTTCTTCTTTTTGTATGAATGCGTTCAAATAAACTCTAATTCCTTTCACAGCCAGAAGAAGAAGTTTGACTAAGAATGCGCATCGCAACACGTTGCAATTCTAGCATTGAACATCCATAATATGTCCACCATTCATCTAAATCATGAAAATATGAAATATAAAATTAGTGAATGACCATCAATATACTATTAACTATTAAATACAAACACTTACAAGGGTTAAGTTTCTATGCTGCTTTTTGACATGATGGTCTACTAAAAGATTCTTTAGCTTCATGATAAGTAGTTGCTTGTTTCATTACCAAGAAGCCATCAACCTCTTCGTCTGAGTAAGACTCTATTACATCAATTAAAGCCATCATTAACTTTGACTTGATCGGGCAGTCTGGAGCATATGTGATTGCTGGATTCAACAAATATGATGCTGCATGAAGATTGGTCTTCAAATGCTTGTCCCATCGAGTTTGAATGATTGTTGTGCATGGCTTATACAGATCCTTGTTCTTCTTAAACATCTCCTTAATTGCCATTTTCACCCTTCGCATGCCTTCATAAACATAAGGCAATAAAGGCTTCTCATCTGAATCAACAATTCTCAACAATGTTATAAGAGGAGATACAATTTTCACAACTTGATAACAATCATTCCAAAACTGATTGTCCAATTTGATTGCACTGAAATTTTTTCCTGCTTTAGTCCTTGATAATTTGTGGTCCACAAAGTGTTTATTAACAACTAAAGCTTGCAAGTTATTCTTGTGCATATATATGTTGTGCAATGTAATAAATGTGGTGGCAAACCTTGTGGCACCAGGATGCACAATTTCTTTCAAAGTCGGTCTTTTCCTCAGCCATGATAAGAAAACCATATGATTATATGCAAATATAATTATCTTTGATGCCTTTGATGCGAGGTCTGACACATGAGGCATGCTTGAAAAGTCTTTCAATACAAGATTCAAATAATGTGTAGCATAAGGTAACCAATAAATATTTTTATACTTCTTTTTAATCAATCTACCACATGCTACATAGTTAGCTGCATTGTCAGTCACCACATGAACAATATTTTTGGGACCAATCCACTCAATGACTTCACATAATAGTGTGAATAGAGTTTTGGCATCTTTAACTAGATTTGATGCATCAACAGAATTCACAAATACCATACCACATGTAGAATACACTAAGAAGTTTATCAAAGTACGCTGTCTAACATCAGTCCATCCATCAGCCATGAGTGTGTAGCTATTGTTTTTCCATTTACCTCGATGGCTATTAATGAGTAACTGACATTCTTTTCTCCAGTCATTCAACAAGTTGGTTTTAAAATCATAAGCACTAGGATCTTTAAACCCAGGCCCTATTAAAGCAATGTCATCCACAGCTTTTTGAAATAAAAGACAATTAAACGCCTTAAATGGAATGCAGTTTACAATAGCCCATTCAGCAATCAATATTTTCACATTATGCTTTGCTTCTTTAGTTGGTAATGCACTCTTAATGCCAAGTTGGGAATCAGGAGTTGTCCTAGGAGCAAAAAAATTGTCTATGCTCCCAGAAGCTTTCCTCTCTTCCTCACACTACTTGTGACATTTGGTGATTCACATGAGTTTCTTCGACTTTCTCTTCTATGTTTTCAATAGTTTTCTTCTTTGACCCTTCTTTTAAAGACTCTACCATTCTATAACGTACATCATGTGAAACTTTTTTACAAGCAGCTATTTGACCAACAGTGCCAGTAAGATGTTGCTTCATCCTATTTATCCCACCTCTGCTATAACTATTAGTACAAAAAAGACACATATATATATTTTGTGTTCCTTCTTTTTTGTATGCAATATGTGCTCATGCTAGATCAGTTTTGGCATGTAATGAAGATGTGAGTGTGGAGGTTTCGGTAGGGGGAGTTGAAGATCCAGTATTAGGAGTCATGTTGTCATTTCCAAAACTTTGGTTATTTGTAATATCCATCACTGCTACTAAAAAAACAAATCAAAAGCTTAACACAACATTAATGATTAAACAATCAAGTTATTCAGTTTCAGATTTCATATTGAACAAGTAGGGAACCGTCCATAGTTTTAAAACCGAAAACATATTCAAACTTCAGCATATAACTATATATAATGACCACAATTTTAAACCAAACACAATCCATAATTTTGAAACCAAACAAGTAATTCTAAACTAGAGTATCAAATTATTTCAAAATACCAAATTAATGAAATTATTCCTTCATGCAAAGTGCAAACAGCCAAACATAGAATATCCTCAAGCAGATTTCAGGATACAAATCCATGGAATCCATTGATGGCTTCAGATTTTAGAATACAATTAATTTTCACAGAATATCCTCAAGTAGAAGCAGAATCCAGATTCCAGAATGGCAAAATCAAACCAGAAAAATAAAAGATGGCAGAGATTATCATCGTCACTTCCAAGTTCAAACGAAAATATGTGAGTCTGCGAGAGTGGCCAAGAAATCAGAGACTGAGAGTGAAAGTGATGATGAAAGATCAGAGATTGAGAAATTGGGAGTCTGGACTTGGGAGAACTGAGATCGGCGAGCACTCACTAATAACTTAGATCGGTGACGACAGGGCAAGGAGCTTCAGGCGAGGCGACGGTAGGACAAGGAGCTTCAAGCAGGGCACCTAGCAGCTTTAGGCGAGGCAGGGGACGATGACCATACCGAGAGTGAGGGCAGTTAGTAGTGCGAGCTTCAGTGAGCTGGGAAATTCAGTGAGCACATGGCGACGAGATTCAGTGAACTGGGACTGAGAACAGGGCAATGAGCACACGGCGGCGAGATTCAGTGAGCTGGGATCGAGGACGGGGCAGTGATCACACGGTGGCTGGGACCAAGGATTAGAAAGGAGATGCCGAGATGGAGACCGAATGAGGAAGAAGGAGACAGGGGATCGAGGTTGAGCTGGTTTTGGATTTGGTTTGCAAAATTTTTTTTTAATAAAACATCGTCGTTTTTGGGTTTTGG